CCCCCCCCCCCCCAAAGGCCCCTGCCTCCCCTCACCAGGCGCATCCTCTGTGAAGCAGCGCCAGAGGGGAAGGGGGGGTCTGGGCTCCCCCTCACCGGCCATGGCAGTGTCTGTACGTACGTCCGTCCGTCCGTCCATGGGTCTGCCCCGCTGGGGCCTGGGGAGTGCCTGGGAAAGGGGTGCGGGGTGCCAGGGAGCACAGAAAAAGTGTGAGCTGTATCTGGGTACCTGGCGTAGGGGTGCACAGGAGTCCGGGGAGGCACAGTGTATTGGGGTGCCCAGGGATATGGGGTGCGCTTGGACAGTGGGCGAGGTGCTTTGGGGTGCAGGGAAAGGAGGTGCACGGTGGGGGGGGGCACACAGGGTGGGGGATGTACGGGAATGAGGGTGCACAGTTTATGGGGGTGTGTGGGGCTGGGGCGTGTGGGAAGGGGGGCTGAGGTGTGTTGGGGTACAGGGGAAGCGGGGTGCTGGTGTATCGGGGTACACAAGGATGGGGGTGCATGGGGAACAGGGTGTGTGGTGTTATTGGGGTGCAGCGGGCTGGGTTGCAGAAGAATGTGGGGTGCCCAGGGAGGGGGGTGCAGGGCTTACACAGTGAACTGTAGTGCAGGGGAGAGGGGTCACAGTATGTTGGGGTGCACGGGCACTGGGTTGCAGAGTGCATTGGGGTGCACAGTGCTGGGGTACACGGGGAGCACAATGTATTAGGGTATACAGGGACGGGGTGCACGGGTTGTTGGGGTACAGGCGGTGTTAGGGTACATGGGTGTGGTTTCTAGGGATGCCTGGGTGTTACTGATTTTATTATCAATTAAAATTAAATTGTTTGATTTTAATATAAATATAGAATTAAGGGATATATTAGTAAAAATAATTTTACATTTATTGTATTTTGAATCTAGCAACTGACTGCTACTCTAAAATCCCCTGTACAGCCCTGTACCAAGGCTGAAGGGGCTGGTCATAATTGTTTAGTAGGAACGGTTAGAACCTAGGTAACAAAACATGAGGTGATTTGTAAACTGATTTATAATACATACATAGGACTAGAAGAATGCAAGTAGTTGTCAAGGTCCAGGATTAATGGGAACTGAGGGAAGTAACCGTAACAGCTTGCAGGTACCTGCCAAGAAAACTGTGTCCTTAAGCAAAAGGTAATTCCGGCAGGGGGAGACCGCGACCTCCGACTCATGGACCACCTACTCACATTACACCCCAGAGCCATTTCTAGACATTTCTAACCTCTACTGCGCAGAATCGGAAGTAGGAGGAGAATATGTTAATGATTTCTTGGAAGTTGTATGCTTATGTATGATACTTAATGAACATGTATGAGTAAGTTCTATATAAGGTGTATGATTCTGGTGCCTGGCACATGTTGGTGAGAGCACTCCCCTACACGTCTGGCCGTCAATAAAGAAGTGTCTGCTTCTCTGCATCACATTGGTGTCGATAAGTTATTTTTATCCCGGATTTCGGTGACATGGGGACCAGGCACAGGGTATTATTGGGGTGCAGAGCTATCGGGGTGCACAGGGACCTGGGGCCCCGGGCTGCTTCTTGAGAAGCACCCACATTTGGGTCAAAGAGAGGGAATTTCTGCCCATCAAGATCCTTTGGCAGGCGAGTAATGGGGCTGGGGGGGGAAAGCAGGGGGGGCAAAGCTGTTTTGCTGATTAGGGACATCAATTAAACTCAGACACCAGAGTGAAAAAAGCAGGTGTATTTTACTCAGAATAACTAAATAATGTAACAGAATAATACAGAAAACATACAGTAAGAAAAGACAGAAGAGCACACTTAAACAAATGGGAAAAAAAAGGGTAACGCATTAAATCATGACTGCCTGAGAGAGAGAACAGCGATTCAGACAGATCCATCCCCGTCACAGACTTTACCCCCCCCCCAGCTCCGCAGCGCTGGGCAGCCCCAGTTACATGAGGGTGGGCAGAGCCTGGCCCGGGCAGGGGGAAATCCCACGTGGTGCCTCCACTCGGAGCTGAGGCCTCCAGAGTCGCTGGGAGCGGGTCCGGCCTTAGAGACCCAAAAATCAGCAAGCCAGAAGAGCTGGAGCCTTTGTTTAAGCGGAAATATCTGGTTTCAATCTGACAGGAGATTCCCCCAGAGCCTGGCCAGGGCTCAGGGAGAAGCTCAGGGAGTTTCCCTGCTCATCTCACTGGATCATGCGCAGGTCTCACATCAGGTCTCGGGACAGACACCGGCCTCCGTGACTCTGCTGTTCTGTTCACACACACAGGAAGGGGAAGATACATTGCAGAGAGCTGCACCCTCCACGCATATTTCATGAAAGATTACATCCCGGGTTAGCAGTTTCAGCTCAGAGCCTGTTGCTCAGGCTTCAACACTTCCACCCTTTACATCGGGACAGGTGGTTTATTTTAACTTAGTATAATACCTGTTGGCATAACGGTGACCAGTCATGAAATATCCAGGATTCATCTACACATCAACTCTGGATTGGGCCTATTGTCCAAGCCCGAGCACCTCACAAGCCCAGCTAAACCCAGTTCTTCCAAGTCCCCCCTGGGCGCGGCGACGGACTGAGCGGTGCTGAGCCCCCAGAAAAACCCAAACCAGCGTTTGCCCAAACAGCTCCTTTAATAAGGAAAAACCCGGTGGCTGCTGGGGGACGAGAGGCGCCAGGAACAGCCCGTTCACACCAAAACCCAGCAGCTCCCCCGCCCTGCAGAGAGGAAATACAGCACAAAAATAGATTTTCTCACACCAGAACATGGGGGGTTCCCTGCCCCCGCTGCAGGTCTCACAGCTTTTATGGACAAAGGGGTTTTGGCACTTTACAACTCACAGAGACATTCAGCATAGGGAGTTTATGGATTTTTATTCCCCTTTGAAAAAATAACTGTGAAAACTCCAGCGCCCCCATTTGCCAGATTTTCCAAGAGATTCTCCTCCCCCATCTATAAAAAGGTTTTTTGGCAAATACTGAACAACTCTGCTTTGAAACAAACACAAAGGGGGTTTTCCCCCCAGAAGCCCACAGGTTACTAGAGCCCCAGGGGCTGCAGGTGCGGGTCAGTCTGTCTGGCTCCCAAAACCCGTTGTTCTGAGCCCAAAACAAGCAGTGACCCCTCCCTGGGCAGGCAGCGGAAGGGCAGGGCCGGGGCTGGGCTGGAGGCACCCGCCAGGGCAGAGCTCTCATGGCTGCCGGGGGGGCTTGAGGGGACAGCAATAAACAGTAACAAAATAATTAAAAAAAAACCAAAAGAAGAAAAATAAAAGCAAAAAATAAAAACCCCAAACAAAAAAAAAAAAAAAAATCCCAAACCACCAAGTAAAGGTCAAAACAGCAAAACCCACCAAAACAGCAAAACACCCCCAAAAAGAAAACAAGAAAAACCAAAAAATCGCCAAAACCCCCAAATCACCAAACCCATGAAAAATAAAATAAACAAAAACCCCTAAACCACCAAAAAAACAGAAACCATCAAAACCACCAAAAAGCCAGAAACACCAAGAAGCCAAAACCAACTCCCCCCAAAACACAACCCAAAAATAAGAAAAATACAAAAACTGCTGACACCACAAAACCCACCAAAGACCAAAACCTGAAGTACAAAACACACCAAACCCAAAACCCACCAAATAACCTAAAAATATCCCCAAACCAAAACTCCAGAAATAGCTTAAGCCAACAGAAAACAAAAATAAACCCACAACAATAATAGAACAAAAATAAAGACAAAAACCAAGCCGAAAACAAAACAGAAAAAAAATCCAAATTTAAAAACCCCTCAGAAAGAAAAAAACAACCAAGAAATAAAAAGACAAAAATAAAAATCTCCTTTCCCAAACCAGCAAGTCCAGCCCGTCTTTCTCCTTCCTCCTCTGCAGCACAAACCCCAGCACATCTCGTGGGCTCAGGAGACCCGATGACACCAACAATCCCGTATAAAAACACCCCAGTTTTCTCCTCCCCAACCAGAAAATACCCAACCCAAAACCTCCAAAATGCAGCTGAAATCACCCCTTTTGGCAGCCAGCCCGAGGCAGTCAGCGACACAGCGATGCTGCTCAGCTCCTCTTGGCGTCGTTCCTCGAAGCCGCGTCCCACGGTGGATGTTCCTCTCCAGAGATCCGCAGCACGTCGACTCCCGGCAAGACCAGATAGACACACCTGCAGACCTGAACGTCACCGGGGGACATCGCACGGGCACCGCAGCGCCGGGGGGAAAGGGGAGATGGAAACTCTCCAGGGGCCCTTTACCACGCAGGCATCGCGCCTGGCCGTGATGCGAGTGCGTCTCTCCCAGGAGGAAGCAGGATCTGGACGTTGCTGATCGCTCCCGCCCGGTCAGATTTACCCCATGGGATGAAAAAGCTGTGGCCGTTCCAGATGCAAAGGTGGTTTCTGTCCCGTTCCCGCCCCCCGCATTGGAGCGGGTTCAGCCCGACAAGCAGCCTCGCAGCAGGATGCTCCCCTCAGCCCCAGCACTACTCACCGCAGCACTCCGCATTCTTTGGTCTACATGGCGTACAGGAACATGACCAAGGTCTGGAACAGGTTGTTCCTGCCCTGAAGACACAGGGAGAGAAAAGAGCTTCGAAACCAAGTCCCCGAGGAGAAATCACAGTGGGATTATGTGATGTGGTATTTTAAAATAAATAGTTTAAAATAAATTGTTAGAACATGAACAAGAGGAAGCTACTACCTAGGTACATATGGATCTTAAACAGATACTAAAACGATTATTTGGGAGCAGACATGCATCATGATCAAAGGCCAAGCTGAGGTTTGCTGCCTTCACTGAGTCAGCCTACATGTCAGCAGATAATAAATGTGGCTACAACTGAAAAAAAACCCAATCCGACCCAAATCTGTTTTCCTGACAGCCGGAGGACACCGCTCCCACCACCGTACCTGGGGCAGGCTGTAGATCAGCTCATAGTGGGGCGGGTTGACGCTGCTCTGGTAGATGCAAAACACGTTTTCATCTGAAGCGTCTGCAAATGAGAAGTTTCAAAGGTGTCGGGGATTTTAAGGGTGCTGACGAGAGCCCAGAGGCCAAGGGCAGCTCGATGTGAGCGCCGGTACCTGGTTTATCCGGTGTCTGAACAAAGTGTTGGAGGTGAAGCTTTTGCCCTCGGGACATTCAGGGTGAGGCGGCAGCCTGGAGTCCAGGTAAGTGCAGAAGAGGTGCATGATGATCTGGAAACAGAAAAACAAATCTCGCTTAAGCGTCCTTAAAAATACAGCAGCTTTCCTGCCATAATCCTGGGTATTAGTTACAGTTTTGGCAATAGCAACGCTAACTCTGCCCCGGTGTGTTCAGGAGCCCGAGGCAGTTTAACGCTTTAAAGCAGAGATTCCAACGGGCCTGCACATCATGGCCGTGAAGGCAGGTTTGTTTTGTCCAGCAGCGAAATAGCCTCAGTCACAACACATTAAACTGAGGCTGCATGTCAGCAGCTGGGCTCCCCCACAAGCAGCTTTATCCTGGCACCCTGCAGAATTTGGCAAAGTCACGGAATCAGCAGATTTAGGCCACGAACTCCAAGCAAACAGTTTTAGGGATGGGTCCTGTGCTACCTGCGAGGATTCTGCTCAGAAGGGCAGGTGAAATCCAGTGACAGCAAATCTCTCCTTGTCCCTCACAAAAGGCCAAACAAAAAACACTGGAAAAACCTGAGCTGGCCACGAGTCATTAAATAAATAAAATGGAAATAAAATGGTAAAACGAGTCTCCAGAAAACCATGCTGCAGCCTGCTACTGGTGGCTTAACCCTTCCCGGGGAGGTCTCAAGATTTTATGGGGGTAACATCACCCAGTTATCTGTAAGCTGATACTTGCTGTGCCCGTTCTATAGAACGGGTCTGTTTCACAGAAAAACAAGAGTTTCTCTGGGCTAAATGGCCAAAGTCTCCAGAAATCTAGGAGATGCGCCTTGGAAAGCACAGCTTTGTATTACCTGCAGTGTGATCAACAAAGAGGCAAAATTGGTTATTTTCTTATTCTTACAGTAATTGTCTCAAGTCACTGAATGTCTGAACTTCATGGCAAGTGTTTCTTTTAATCTGTTAGATCAGAACTTATTTCCCAGGATTCCTGGAAGTTTCATTCCAGGGTGCCCTCCTCTGTCTCATCATCTTTAAACACTTTGAGCTGCTTACGCCTCTGTGGGTCAAGACACCGAGAGCTGCTCTGTGGCCAGTCACTGTCACCTATTTCATCATCTTCACAAATAGAAAATCAAATCCTATTTCAAGGGTGATTTTGTACAACTTCAGCTTCCAGCTACTGACTCTCATGATATCTTTGTCAGCAAAGCTGTGAAGCTCTGATATTCTCATCTCCTGATTTTTATCCTCCCAAGTAACTGAAAATCTGTTTACTGTGGGGAAAAAAAAAAACAACAAAAAAACAAACAACAAACCCAAAACAAAACAAACCCCTCAACTGTCAGATACAGAGTTCAACTGAGGACTCACACCATAAAGCCTCATTTTTGACTCCTTGAATTGCTCTGGGCTCTTCCTTATAATTCTTTTCATCCCCTCAGTTGAATTTCCAAGCCATGTTTACACTGAGGCTCTGTTCCTCCTGACCTCTCAGATTAACGGGCGAAACATCACTACGAGTCTTGTCTCCCCTGGGATACGCAACAGATTTCACGTTTCTCACAAAATATTACTGAATTAAACTGCAGCCATGACACTCCATCTGCATTTTCCCCCTCTGTCTGTTAGAGCAAAGGAAAATGAGAACAAGGCAAAAGCTTTTCCTTGCATTAGGAATTGTCACGTTAAGGCAGACATTTGCCTTCCTAAAAGAAAGAGAGCAAGGGCAGCGCCCCAGCGAGATCCCCGATGTGGGTGCATATGCTGGTCGTGAACCTTCTGCGTCACTGACAATATAAAAGTATCACCAGCATTCTGGTTAGAAGATTAACAACGTCTAAATTAATGATGCACTTGTGTTAGAAGATTAACGGCATCTAGATTAACGACGTCTAAAAGCAAAAGGATTTGTGCTTGTTAGGGAAGAAACAGATAAGAAGGGATTCTTTAAAATAACAAAGCAGAAACTTATCCACCAGCTGCGCACGGTTAGTAGTATTTGTCGAAAGTGCGGAGAGGAACTGCTTTTTGAAATGAGCATGCGCAAGGGCAACACATGGATTTGCTGTTATTTTTAGAAGTACAAGAATATAAAAGGACTTGTTTTTCTAATAAACTTTGGAGCATGACTGTTAACCATATTGGTGTGTGTCTTGACTCTGGCCTCATCCTGCAAAAAAGGGTTTCCTGCTACAGCCCGGCTGTCGGGCTGCTCCCTGCAGTGAGCCTACCGACACTGCAGAGGAGTCGGAGAGCCCGGCCTAAGGCTGAGCCCTGCACTTGCACTGCTGTGATCTACGCAATGTCCAACCCCGCTGGCACTGCTCCCCACGGAACCCCACTGACCCAACGGGATTCTCTCTGGAAACAATGCCAACAGGATTTTATCCTGCTCCTCAAAAGACTGACTGGCTGCTCCCTCCACAGACCCTGCGCCGAAAAGCAAGCCGCTTTACGCCGTCGTATCGCGAGGGCTTCCAACACTTACAGAGGAGTCGGTGGTCAGGAGGGTGTTCCACCATTGAATTCCCCTCCTCCGTTCCATTGGAAGGAACTCAGGCATCCTCCCCGAGTAAGCCCTGCAAGCAACAAGATTCATGCATTTACGGGGGTTGAAAGTGCATGAAAGAAGAATTTTGTGCTGGTTTCAGGGGCTTCATACCCGCTTCCAGTGTACAAAACAGGAGAAGTTCCGCTAATGGAATTTTTGTAAAGATGGTAACACAGGGAGATAAATTTATAGGATAATTTTTGATTTTAGTTAGCAAAGAGATTAACTGAAGCACTGGAGGGAAATGAGAAATCAAGCCTTTAAAAAACATTCCCAAAGTTCCATCCCAATCCCGCATCGTTCCATCACTACAAAACTGCAGAGAACCATCTCTGCTGCTTCAAAGTAGCTCTCACCCCCCGTGGCTCTTCCAACGCCTCCGCTGAAGGAACATCTGATACCACCAACACTCGACCGGTCACGGGAGTTTTAAAGTCGGTCCGGTGACAGCACGTACCTTTGATCCTCTCGACCAAATACTGCTGGATTGGGGTCAGATCTAGATAGGGCACCAGAGTGCTGAGGGCTGGAATGAGCAGAGCTCTCAGGAGTGCTGCCTGCTTCAGACTGCTAATGGGACAGGAGCCGGGCAGGAGGGGGTGTGGGGAACACCAGGAGAAGAGAAGGAGGCACTAAACGTCTGAAGTGCAAGAACTGCAAACGTCAGTTCAACAACAAACTTCATCTGTTTGCTGCAGAGCGGAGCTGGAGCCAAGGGGTGATTGTTCCCCAACACCACGCTGCCCAGACGCTCACAGCCATGGGATTTCTTAAAACAAGCCCATTTATTGGGTATTTCATTGGGGCAGATCCCTCCTGCGCTCCGAGCAGGAGGAGCATCACGGTTGTGAGCGGGGCAGAGGCTGCGCGGGCAGCGGCGACCCGGCTGGTGTTCAGCTCCTGACACCGAGGGGCAGAGGAGGAGGTGCAGCCGTTCCCCATCAGGTGCCCCACGGCCTGGAGGAGGAGGGGGACAAGGGGCGGCCGGTCGGTTCCGGGGAGACTGTTGGAATCTTGGGGGGAAAAATGGAGAACTGGGGGCCCCATGGGATCTGGGCAGGGGCTAAGGGGGTTTTGGAGGGACTAGGGCAGGGGGGGGCAAATGGGGTTTGGAGAGGCCACAGGGGTGATTTGGGGTCCCTGAGGGTCCCAGGGGTACCTGACCCCCCCCACCCTCCTCCATGTGTCCCCCCTCAGCAGATGCTGCTTCCTCAGGTGTACCCCGAGAGCATCAGCCCCAACTACCTCCAGTACTAGTGCTGGGAGGTACTCCAGGTGGTACTGGGAGTACTGGGAGGGACTGGGAAGGGGCTGGGGTTCACCAGAAGGGCTGCTTAGAGGGGACTGGAGGGCACTGGGAGGCAGCTGGGGGCTACTAGGAGGGACCTGGGGGGACTGAGAGGTAACTGGAAGGGTAACTGGGAGCACTAGGAGAGGACTGGAGACACTGGAAGGTGGTTGGGGGCCACTGGGAGGAGCCAGGGCAGTGCTGGGAGAGACTGGGAGGTAACTGGGAGGGAGGTGGTGTAGGTGGGGGTAACTGGGTAGTAACTGGGAGCACTGGGATGGGCTGGGGGTCACTGGTAAATGAATGTGGTGGGCAACTACTGGGAGGTGTCTGGGGGTTAAGGAGAAGGACTGGGAAGTAGCTGCTAGGCAGGTGGGGGTAACTGGGAGTAACTGGGGGTGACTGGGAGCACTGGGCAGGCTCTGTACAGGCCTTGATGGGTGCCCTGGCCACCTGGGTGGTCCTGCAGGCCGTGGGGGTGGGGGACAGCACTTCCACCATCACCGGGACCACTCTCACCTGGGTGCTGCAGGGTGAGACCCCCAAACCCCCTTTTCACCCCAAAACCATCCACGGCCCCAGGATCCACGTTTCACTATCAAATCCCCCAATTTTACCACAAAAAATCCATATTTGACCCCCAAATCTCCCATTTCTGACTCCCAAATCTCCCACTTTTGATCCCAGAATTTCCCAGTTTGACACCAAATCAGCCTCAGCACCCCCAAAAATTCCTGATTTTCATCCCCAAATCTATCCTGAATGTCAAAATCCCACAGTTTTACCATAAAATTTCCACCAGCATCCCCAAAAGCCTCCCACTTTTCCCCCAAAATTCTCTTTGGACCCCAGAATTCCCCAGTTTGACCCCAGAATGTTCTAGCAACTAACCAGTGCCCAGTCAAAAACAGCCCAGCCCCCCAGTACAGGAGAGGATTTTGGTGCTGGGAGAAATGGCGACGT